AAATTTCTATACATAAATTTTTTCTATGCATTATTTTGCTTCGACATAAAAATATTTAAGGAAAAATAAATATAAAACACTGCTTTATTAGGGAAAAATTACATAATATGGTTCTTTATATCCATCTTCAGAGGAAGACAATCTAGAAATAAAACAACAGTTGGAATATAGATCTATAAAAGACTGGAAACATTTAAGACTTTAAGCAGTATTTTGTATTTATTAAGCACTAAAAGAATCAATTTGTTTATTTTTTTTAAGCAAAAAATAATTGTTTCCTTGACAGATTGTTTATTTTAATAAGCAAATATTTTTCAATATATTATATCTTTTTCTCATCTCCTAATTTTCTGTAAATACAAAATTTCATGGAACATTTTATATTTGTGTAAAATTATAAAAGATCATTTAATAATACTAATCCTGTGATAAACAATTTTACCATCTTAGAATGTAATTTGGAAATTTCTAAGTATAGAATATTATATTCCTATTCTAAAATTTTGCATCTGTAGAAACTGCTAAAGAATCTAAAGCTAGGGATAAGCTAAAAAAATATTTAGTTATTAAAATAAACAAGCCCTTAAAAGAGTAGGGTGATATACAGGGTGAACCATAACTTTGGAATAAACACATATACATATTCTATGCTTGAAAACTAAATGAAAAGTTCCAATAAATATAGATTATAAAACTCATAGGAAAGAGTACAAGTTTACTTTATTTTCTTCTAATTTTTTTACATCAGACAAGTTCCACAAAACTGCTGTGTAGAAGTTATCAAAGGAACACAAAAATGATGTATGACAAGTTCTGCATAGCAATTTTGCACTTATTTCCAAAGAACAAAAAAAAGAACAAGAAGCAATCAAGTGTCAGAGATGTTTTAAAGTGGTTGCCATTCTCAACAACAACCCTTGAAATGCCTTAACATTGATGCCTTATTTGCTCTAGGCTGATTTCTGTCAATAATAGAATTACATACATTCTTGACCAGTTCTAGTTCTGTCACACTTCTATTGACAAGAGTAGACAAGAGACTTCAAATGATCTCAAAAAATAAAAACCACGAAAATTTAAATCCAGCGACCAAGCCGATATCCGACTGGTCTAACTCATCCTATCTATCCTTCTGGAAATTTCTGATCTTTATACAATACTGAGGAGAGTTTGTCATGTGAGCACAATACATACAAATGACAAATGTATGTATGTGCTTATTGTATGTATTGCTATATTGTGTGTATATATTTGCTGAGCATCAGTTTATTGTGGGAATTACAAATGTTTGTCCAAGATTCATTCCCTTTGATTCAGCAATACACTGACAAGGAGTGGGAATTGGTAAATACCTAACATTGTGGAGTAATGTCACAAGAAAATCCTCTACACTACTCAATATTGGCTAAATGTTTATTAAGCACTTGGCAAATATTAAATGTGTGGAGCTGTCTTCAAATGTTATGTAATAAATACAACAAACCTAATAATTACAGTAAACTTCAAATAAACATCCTGACATATGCTATTTAAGCAAATATTAAATATTATACTCATACTTTAAACATTTCAGAGTTTGAAGCAAAATTAAACAGAAATCAGCCTCGGGGTTCAAATGATGCTTCGACATTCAAACTGCACTCAAAGCATAAATGCAATCCGTTGTCTGTCCGAGTCATTTTGCTCTCACTCTTCCATTATGCTTGTATGTTTTCACTGCTTTATTAGCTTTATTTTTAGTGTGTTTGTAACCAAACACACTAAAAATAAAGTATACATTACATATTGTGTGTTATTTGTCAATTTACAATTTGTTATATACATTACATATTGTGTGTTATTTGTCAATTTTTAACAATTTCTTCCTGCAATTATTTTTCGTTGACAGCTTTTGGGAGCCCAGTACATTTTGTATCCTTTAGTTCAAAATCTCTCAAATGGAACTTTTTGAACTACATTTGACATGTTTGAAGTGTAGGAGTATTTTCCTAAACACCCACTAAAATTTTTTTTTGCTGTTTGTACATTGTTATATCCTTTCCAAAACTCATTAAGCATAATATACATCTATGTTAAGAAGTCGACAGTGTTTGAGTAATAAATACAATCTTCATTTTGTATACAGTATTTACATATTTTATTTATGGTTTTTGTGTTTAAATTTATTATTAAGTCATTTAATTGTGTTATTTTTATCTTAAATTACATGTATTTGATGAAGTTTATCAAAACAGGTATTTTCAGTATCATGGACTGGTTTAATTCTCTTTACATTATTTGTAATGGGAAAAATTGTTTCGGACTTCAAACAACCTCCTGGAATGAATTAAACTCAAAGCATGAGGCACCACTATTATTTATAGGCTTTAAAATTTGTAAATTGATTTACTGTGTATTTATTTTTGATTTAAGAACTGTTAATTTTTTAAAAGATGCTAAATAACTATATGAATTATTTCATAAATACAGCCACTCCCTACTTAACAATCTACCTGTTTAATTAATGACTATTTGGACTTACAACCAGCTCTTCAGTGTGGGGAATACCCTTTTTATACCCCATTCGCACTGAGCATTTCAATCTAGATTGTGATAAGATTGGTGACTGTGCCATGGTGTGACTTCTCTTGACTGTTTCAATCTCAACTGAAACCAAGTTCAATCGTGATCGACATGAGAGTTTTTGAAACTAGATCCAGTCATAAGAGAGTTTTCACAATCCCACATACATGAGAAGAAACAAGATGGTTGTGGAACAGGTATCAGGCTATCGACAGAGAAATAAAAAAAGATATTCGGAGAGATGATGAAATATGGCTATTATTAGATATATGGCAAGAAAAAGCATTTATTTCTAACCAAAACTTCCCTTTTGTTGTTTGTGACTTATTCCATAGTTATGTCAGTTTTATCATTGCGTTCAATAGCCGGGTTCTTTTCAAGTGAACTGCACATGCAAACAGCTCGATGTTCAACTAGCGACAGTTGCAATCATGATTAAAGTGAGTCGTGGATTATGTAAGAACACAGTATTAGTCTGTCCCAGGAATTCTCTCTCTCAGTCTTCATCTTGTTCCTGCAGTTGATCAGTATTTGCTACATGAAGATTACATAGTTTGTTTATAAATTTGTACTTTACAGTACACCCAATAGTACAAAATATCAGTAAAAAGAAAGAGTATGACTTCACCTGGAGGAAGTACCAACATTCAAAGGAAGGGCAACAGAGTTAAAGGTGCAGCAGCACTTGGAAAAGCAAGAAAAAGAAAGAAAGAATGGAAGTGAAAAAAGTTTACATAAAGGCAAGTAAATGACCTTTTACAATGCTGTTGTGAAACTTACCAAGAGAAAAAAAACTTACAAAGCAGATCACACCAGTGAAATTCTTCTAGAAAGATACATTCAGAACTCTTACCCCTACAAGTATTCATTTCCTTGCTGTCATCAATCTTACTTGCACCCTCTATATCTCCCGCTACCCCTGCTAATAACTCCAATGATGAAACTGATGACCTTTAACCATCACCAGATTTTGAAAGATTCAATGACTAAACTATCATTCTGAATGACTTTTTTAATGAATGAACTTCAATTTTTTTCAAATAACATTTCAATAATTTTTACTGAATATATTTTTATGATCAGTTACATGTAAGAAATGCAAATTACTGCAGAAATAAAAATTATTGAGTTGGAATTTCTTTTAGACCATTTTTTCAAGAATAAATAAAACAATTAAGCTCTAGTACAAATGTGGAATAGAGTTTAAATGTGTTTGGTAGATGAATCTAAATGAATCACTATTGATGCAAGTTTTTAATTTTAATCATTATATTGTTTCTATTTGTAAATAATCCTTGTAATTCTAACTACTTTAATTTTTAGTTACATTATTACTATTAGCAATGTGATTAATATAAAATATCAGATTACAAATTGAAAAATATTAACATAACAATACCAGCTTATCTAGCAAACTTACACTTATAAAAACAGAACTATACTAAATAAATTTTACTAATTTACAATTTATATTTAGAAACAAAAATATTTAAATGTTATAAACTTTAAATTTCATTTGCAAGACTTTAATTTATCTTTAATAATATATAAAAGAAAGAGTTTCATTCTAACTGTTGAGCACGCACAATATCATATAGGATGTAGATGCAATATTTGGATTTTGCAGTCACAACAACATCGTGTCATTTACATCCATTAACTTCAGATACATGTCAATCCCATTGGAATTAACTGATTTTATATTTGTTTCAAAAAATTAACATGATTTTTAAAATTATGCTATAATTATTATAATCTAACAATTTTGAAACAAATAACATTTAATTTCTGACATTAATAGCACAAACAAAATTTATGTTACTATTGAACTAAGCTGAAGATGTATATTATTTTATATTATAATATATTTTAATATAATTTTGGATACTTCATTTAACTGTTATAGTTTTTGATACTATCACAATATGACGTAAGCAGACGTTACATATGTTTGTTTGCTAAGATAATTAGGTAAAGCACATTTGTAACAAGTGCACTAGCATTATTTTGATGAATGAAATAACTGTGCAAAGTAATCGAGGTTCCATTACAAATCATTTATTTTTTCTCTTATCATAGATAAAATATAGAAATATTCTTCTTTGCTTAAAAAATATTACTTGATTAGGAATTATTTTAAAGTCTTTTTCTTAAAAAAAAATTCAAAAATAAAAAGTTTTGACTTCTTTATAAAGCTGAACTTTAACTTTACAACAGTAAAATTTTTCATAAGACACGGTCGAATGTGCATTATTAGTTGCATATATTTAAGGTGAACAAAATTCATCTCAAATGTAATTTTAAATTCAATAATATATAAAAATTAGATACATTTTGTGACTTATATATATTATCTTTGTACTTTGTATGACTTATATTGCATTATTTTTCTTTTATGTACTAGGTAAATATATATGTAATCTAAAGTTTTGACATACCTCTGTATCTTTACGAATAAAATGTCCTGCTAATAAGGAATTTTGTTTCAAATTTTGTGCCAGTGCTACCATTTCTTCAGCCACTTTCTCCTGCATGCTGTGATGGTAACGAAGTACAGCATCCAAGTCCTGATTTTCTTTGTCTTCTTCATGCTTCTGACGTAATCTCAAATCGCCATTATCTACAATTGCCATTCAAAAATATTTACTTAAAGATTAACAGTGTAAACAGAGTAAAAATTATTCAATATTTATGATATATACAGTAAACTTGCTATCAAATTCTTAAATAACCCATTAAATTTTCTTGCTATATAAGTTGTGAAAAATATTTTCTTAGTATACTTTAGTTTCTTAGATGTAATAATATAAAATGTAACCTATATTGTATTAATTCAAATTTAAGTCATATCCAATTATTAAAAAGAAATTTTTAAGAAAAAACATAATTGATAATTAAAAGTAAATGTAGTTTAAAAGAATTTATTAAAGAAAACTACATTATTGTTTCCTTCTATATGACATGTGTTTAACAGACGATAACAAAGCCTATGCTTTCCAGTAATGTGTACAGGGTGTCCAAAAGTTACTGTACAATGAGAAATTTGTAATGACATTAAAGTTATACATATGGGATAGTATACAAGACCCATAAGTCATACATCTCACATTTCCATTTGGCTGTAGATGGTGTTACTGCTTGCTCACATATATTATAATTTTTGAAAGACTTCTTTTGCTGAAGGATAATCTCCTGTGGAATCTGGCTTACTAGGTCTCGGGACCTCACTCCTCTGGATTTTGGGATCTATAGGAAACATATCCTGCATTGCTATAGGAGAAACTGTAATATTGTATGTAAAACTTTACTTTAGCCTTTTCCACTTCACAGCAACTTTACAGACACTCTGTACAATGTATGAAGTAGAGTTTTTGAAGCTAATGAGCCCTACATACTTCATTCTTGTCTTCATTTCGCTACAAAAGTTCAAATTCCTAGTATTTCTGTTTTCTTGCCTTGTTTACATTGCACTTTGTGTTTGCTTGTTCTCAGTAAAAAAAATGATTATTTCAAGCCTTGAAGAGTGACAAAGAATATTCTGAATTTAAGATTAACCATCTTATAAATTTGGAAATGTAAAAAGAGTGTTCGTTAAATTTGAATTAATGTAGTATTTTAAAACAAGTTTCATTAAACATACCAAAAACTTGAGAATCTGATTTTTTGTCTAACAATTCTTCTCTCATTTCTTGTAAATAACGAGCTTTTGTTTGTAGATGCAATTCTTTAGATTTATTATGTTTTGGTGAGGAAGACAAACCTGGAGATAAAAACTGATTTGCTAGGGCTTTCTCTGAAGCAGTAGGCTGAAAATAACCACAAATTGCTGATTTTACTATAAGAATTAAAATTAAATTATAATTTAAACAGAAATTCTTACTAATTTCTCGGCTTCAACAATTCCTTTAAGAAATTTTACTTTTTTTTCATATTCAGCTAACGTTTCAACAGAAGGTTGGCTAAAATTTAAAAATTATCTTTTGTTATTCATAATATGCATTTTCTTTTATAAAAGCTAATTCACTAAATGTTACATTATAAAAATAAAATAGTAACTTTATTATGTAAATGTCTACTAGGACATATCATATTAGTAGGGCTTATTATACTGGTGTCTGGGTTCTGCAAATTTAAGAAACCTATTCAGAAAAAAAAACAATCTTTATTTTTCACCTGTTAAGATATAAAGATTTCTTAATAAGTTTCTTAAATTTGCAGAATCTGGACACCAGTATAATAAGTCCTACTAATATGACATGTCCTAGTAGACATTTACATAATAAACTGTATAAATAAGGACACAGAGGCATATGAATTAATAAAATAGTAAAGTTTATATCTTTTATCTATCTAATACATTGGCCTATTAGTGGCCAAGTGGATGAAACTGCCAAATGCCGGCAGTTGCTTTGCATCTCACCAATGGGTTGACCCTGTGGGGTTTTCCAGGTTTTCTTCAAATGCTTAATACCTAAATAGGAGCTAGATTCCCATAAAAAGTCCTTTTGGCATTGCAGACTGCCTGAATGTTGCACTGTCTTATTCCATCAATCCCAAATCCCTGTCTAACATCTTGTAAATTCACTTATAATAATTATGAGATAATTATTAAAACATCTAAATTTTGTTTTGTATATATAGAGCAGCCATGTATATAAGATCTTGTCTCCAGTTAGGGAATATCTCAATGATAAATTCCATAAATGATGGATTGGATTTGAATGTGATACAGCATGGCTTTCTTGACGTTCAGATTTGATATAATTTGACAATTTGTTTAAGTCACTGTAAAAGAAAAATCTTTCAACTTGACTTTACGAGAGTCAAATGATTGAAAACTGATTTTAATATTTGTAAATCCTTACAAGAAACTGTTGATGTGGAGAATGATGTCTGAAAGAATGTGAGAAAATTTTTTATTTGTGTATAGAGTAGAGAAGAAAGTGTAGATAACTCTTAATTACAATGCGCGATGAATTTGTGGTCACTGTCTAGCTAAAAATTCTAATAAGCTGCACAATGCAAGCAACCTATCATAATTCTTAATTAATAAACTCATTACATTATTCTATTATAAATGAGCATTTATTTATTGTGACATTGCTACAATGCCAGGCTGCAATTTTTAATCTATATAATTTAATATATATACTAACCACCTCAAATTAGTACAGTAGTGTCTTACCCCTGTACATCATACTTTTCCTGCTAGCAATAGAATTGTGCTAGTCATCTAACTCTTTTCAAGAGAAAATTTTTGAATTGAAATAATGTGACTTCCAGAGCAAAGTGGAAGTTCATATATAGTTAATCAGGGCTTCCTGCCTCTAAGCTTTCCATATCTGGCCTCAAATTTCATCTATCTAATTTCATTCTTGAGATTAAAGAAGGACAGACAGTGGGAAGTTTTTCAAATTGCAGCCCAATAATGATATAAAACATTATATCCATCCATTTTTCAGCTTTTCCTATATTTTTTATTTTTTTAACTCTTTCTATCCTTTGGAGACTAAGAGGGCTTTCTCAGCAATCCCATTATGGGTTTGACAAGTCCCCCAATGGGTGGCTGGATGACAAGTGACAGATATGATATATCCAAATGGACTGTCCCCTGAAAAATTCCTGGGTTTTTGACCCAACCATGTTTGATCTTGAGTCTCCCAGAACAGCAGCTTGCCACCCTAACTGCTCGGCCATCAGATTGTCTCTACTTTTAGTTAAAAAACTAGACATATGCATTTTCTGTACAATTTATACCAGTAACAGTATCAATCAATTATATAAAACAGACTCCTTCAAATACTACTACAATAATAGATGATGATTCTTCATTTATTATTGTAGTAGTATTTGAAGGAGTCTGTTTCACACACAAACCTCTGAATGACAACCACTGATAGGAATGTAAAACCTGGCCATCATTTGGAGGTTTATTTTGTACGCATTAAAAAAAAAATGTTCCCAAAAAAATGGTCGCTGTTTAGAAGTGGCTGTTATTGGAGGTTCAGTTGTATTAAATTTCTGTTAAATTAACAAATTTCTCAAATAAATAATGGCAACCAGAAATCAGAAAAAGCATATTCAGATGAAACAAATGCATCTTTGAATTAAAACCATTCTAAATTAAATTAAATTTAGAGAATTTAAAATTTAAAATAAATAAACATTTAAATTTGACAATTATTAAACATATATATCATTTATCTGCATTAAAAGAATGTCTTAATGTAACATTATACCAATAAATTTAAAAATAAACTTGATTACATAATGGAAGTAAATATGTTTCTATTAATAGTTTCAGAAAAATTGCAGAGTAATGCAAAACAAAACTTCATTGCAAGTTACATATTTAAGATTCTTACTTGCTTTTTTACAATAATTCAATATTTGTAACTTTCGTTTACTGTTTCTGAAACATTAATTTCACAGATAATTGCTTATCAGTTAAAGTACAGGGTCTTCCAAAATGATTGCTACCATTTTAAATTACTGTAATTAAGTTAATTATTTTCTGAGAAGTATACAATGTATACCAATCAATAGAGTAACCATCCATGTTTTATCTCCCATCCACATTTAAATGTCGCATTGGCTACTAGTAATAGGAAATGCTGTAAACAAACATGGTGACCCCGTGCAAAGAAAGTGTTTTGTGTTCTGCAAGTTTGCAATTCAGAATCACTTGTCATTGTGCAACATGAGTAATCTGCATGAAATATAGAATTGCGGCTGTCATGGGAAAAGTGACAATAGATACGCCATAGTAAGTGTATGAAAAATTTGAGTATTGATTGGATGTGTGCCGTGTGACGTGAGATGCATTCATTGAAAAATTATAATGGCCAAATGTAAAACTTGGACAGTTTTCTAATGTTTTAATGTACATTATGACATTCTTAGATAACAATGAACATAATTACAGTAATTTAAAATGTATTATTCCTTTTGGAAGACCCTGTATATGATAATTTTCCTGCATACTACTATTAAAATTAAGCTACACATTTGTCACATTAAAAAAGTAAATATTTTCATCCATCTACTAATCTTTGTCAGTTAAATTATATTAATACATTTTAACTATAATTAAAAAATCAAATAAAGTACAAATAATCACAAGCATTTGCTTACAATCTGACACAGCTATCAAAAAGTGGAAGTTTTTTCTTACTTTTCCAGTTGTTATATTTAACAGAGAAAAAGCATGGTAATCAGTCAAAAAATGACCCCCCCAAGATTTTTATATTTTTAGACTCAGGACACCTTGAAATGCCGAGTAATAAAAAACATTTGGTTTTTTCTGTATGTATGGATGTTAGTGTGGTGGGGGCACGATTTTTTCACCCTCTTTGAAGCTTAATAATTCCTGTGCAGTTTGTTGAAAATTTTACAGGGAGCTTTCTTTATTAGAGGCTTTTAAATTTTGGTGATTAAAGGTAGAGAGTGTGGGGAGATAATGGGGGTCATGTATCTCCAATAATGATCCCAATAATGACAATTTTAGCATTTACAATTTTTTATAAAATCCCATCCCTACCATCAAAATTAAGCTTTTTGCCATTTTATAATAGTTAAAAATGGAAAAGGTATTTTCACAAAATATGATGACAGATGGCACCACCAAATGTTGCTGGGAAAGTTAAGCAACCGATTGCTGAATTTTTTTAAAATTTTGGCTTGGTTTTTAATAAGTTTTGATGAAGATGAAACTTCAATGCTAAATTTATTTGCAATATCCTACCTCAACTTGTATCAGTGTCTGTTTTAGCATTTAAATCGAGATCAACACATTTATATTTAGCTACCATTTTTTTATCACAATGAGAATTATAGAGTTTGATTAATCTTTACATTGTAATCTACTTGATAGAATGACTGAATGAGAATATAGTGTAATCAGTGTTGCTAACTCTGAAGTTAAAAATTGCTATAGCACTCTCAAAAACCCACATTTTGGATAAGAGAACTGTTAGATTTCACACTTAAAAAACCATTATAAATACCTGTTTAAAAGTATAAATACCATATACTGTGTGCTCTATTCATGAATATGAATAGAGCACACAGTATATGGTATTTATACCTGCTATCTTTTGCTGGAAATAAATTACCATTGTAACATTCCAACATGCACTCTAAATTAATACAAGTGCAACATCAATTAATTTTCCTAAATTATGCTAACTAAACTCTTAGAACTTGTTCTTCAAACTCTTTCAAGTTTGTTTTACAATGATAAAAAAATCTGAAACACTTACTCTTTCTGCAAAGTGGTAAATGCAGTAGTCTTCCCAAAATGTATACTGTTCCCCTTTCAGTCCCTTCCTAAAAATGTGTTGCACTAGGCATGGGTTGGAATATCACAATGCCTAATTGTTTCTGATAAAAGACTCTAACAGAAAACAAAGAAAGTGTTACAATATTCATCTACATTTTACTGTTGTATGTAAAGCTACATAATAATTTTTGTTAATGATATACATAAATTCACTTAAATGATTTCCCTTTCAGTTAGATATACTTTAATTATCAAAAATAAGCCTAAACTGCCAGATTATTTTCAGGCTATATTGTGGCTAATTTAATCAATTATTATCAAAATGAAACCTAAAGATAAGCAGTTATGCTGTAATGATGTAAAAAGTTTAATTAGAAATTTCAATATACTACATAAACAGAGCATAAATTCTGTCACCTGACTGTAACTAATTTTACATTTTAATTTTGAAAATCTTGGAAAAAATTAATCCAGGATGGGACCCATAACTACTGTATAATGGATATCACTTATCACTGGTTAAGCTATCCACTTTTGTCCAATCTTTGCTACCAAACATGTATTAATTTAAACTTAGTTACCGTATATCTGCGCAGATAAGACGATAGTTGAATCATAAAAAAATACTCCCAAAATCCGGGGTCGTCTTATAGGACAGATACAAAAAAAAATTAGATTGAAATTTATATAAATTAAAACCATTATAAAAAGCAGACAAACTGTAATTATTTACTAGTAGAGTGTAGGGTATGTCCACAAAATAGAATAGCCCATACGATGTTTTTGTGAATAGTCAAGGTCACCTGTATGCCCGAATCAGTGCAAATGTTGGCAACAATAGCAAGGCAGTGCTGCCAGATGCAAAAATATAAAATTTGTTCATTTGAAAAATTACAAATTGGACATAATTCCATATATGCTATACAGTATTATTATCCAGATGATGATTGCTGATCTAAACTAAATTCATAGGCCGTTGAGAGTTTGGGGGTCATCTTATAGGACAGATATATGCTAAAACCATAAAACTTAGACAAAAATTTATACCTTGTCTTATCTGTGCAGATATATGGTAATTACTATACAGGTATACCTTGCCTTACGTTGGTAATTGGTTCCAGGAAAACGACGTAAGTCGAATTTACTTGTCTCCGAATCTACTTATCACTAGGCTAAACCGTAAATTACCATTCCCGATTCTGTATTTTATTTATTAATGCATTTTTAATAATATATGGTTAATAAAAATTTATTTTAAGCTTACAAACAAATAAATTTTAGTTTTTAATATAGTACAAAAAAAAGTAATCTAAATTTACGAATGCATGTACTGTAAATACAGTACATACTTGTATATATTTTAATATGATTTTATGTGCTTTAAACGTTTATCTAGTGATATTACGACTTCAATATTTGTGGCGGACAGACGTAAAGTCGAATAAAATGACTTAAACTTGATTTTTATTTTTCCATATACTTTTTTTAACAAGCGACGTATAATCGGGAACGACGTAACTCGAAACGACGTAAGTCGAGGTATGCCTGTACTAATTAACTGATATAATGTTAAAATTTAAATAAATCAGTTTTAATACAGCTCAGAAATAACTGGAACTTCACACATTTATGTTTGGTAATTGATTTTTGAAATTCCGTCAGATGCTAAAATTTTTAGTAAAAATAAAAGACACAGTCATTCTAAAAATTCTTAGGTTGACTTGGGTTTAGATACTATATTGTATAATATGTTTTGTGAATCTCACTTGAGCTGATATGAAGTGCAATAGCAAAAAATGCCTATATTAGCACAGGTTACATGACCTTAACAGGATCTGAAGAACATTTCAGAATGCAGTTATAAACTCCTTTTAAATGCTACAGAGCCTCATTAAGATAGATAAAAATAAATTAGAATGAGGTATTAAGTAATTGGAACAAAAGTCATGCTAACTCTACATAGTAAGCAGCTTCAGCAGAAGCTCCTGTTCATCTTGTTAAATATATATATATAGGTATTGTAATAAAGTTTAATCAATAAACAAAAATTATTTTTAATAATAATATAATAAATATAATTACAACTTCTAACAAAGATAAAACTTGCTTCAGTCCTTCTTTCCGTTGTTTGCACCATCCGCAGTTCAGACACCAGATGATGCTTTTATCATACTTTACATTTTTTTTTGCTACGGAGGCAGTAGCCTAAAAGGAAAGGTCATCTCTGTGAATTTTGTGATTTTATGAACTGAGGATGGTGCAAACAACAAAAAGGACTGAAGCAATGTTTTATCTTTGTTAAAAGTTGTAATTATATTTACTATATTATTATTAAACATAAATTACCATTGGCCATGTTAAATTCATTTTTGATTTTATTTAAAATATAATATATCAGTTTTATATAAGGAAAATATCTAATTATTGATCACTAATGAATAAAAAATATGAAGAGGGTTTTATTTACCAAAGTTTTACAGGCTCTCCACATAGTTTCTGGCCATGGGCCACATGAGATATTTTTTACCAAATGTCTAGTAGGCACTATGCTCCATAGGCAGAGCCATTTTCACAAATAGAGCACACGAATCATTTTATTACTACTAGAATGACAAATAGCATCTTGCAATGTAATGTTAACCTTATAAAGGCTCCTTTGGTTTATGGAACAAGTCAAAATCACAGGGAAGCATGTTGAGATGAATGCTCAAGGATATCTCAATTCTATTTCTGCAACAGTTGCAACAAGTATTGTTATGTAGCGAATTCTGCTGTTCTTAAACAAGCTCTTGCAACAAATTACAGGTCATAAGTGGTATTTGAGAAATTTCTTACACAACGTAAATAACATTTTAGCTGCAATAGAGATGTTTGTGCATTTTATCCTCTGTCAACAGAGCTTTCCAGACATTTGTCAATGATGCTACACAAGGCTGGAGAATATGATGATAGCCTGTAAAAACTGATAAGTACAACCTACTTCATTATTCTATTCACTATTATTTATTCATTAGTGATCAATTATGACACAACTGTTGTATAACCATCATTATTAAAAAATCTCCATGTTAAAAGAAACAAAACAATTTTTTTTTAATTAAAAATATTAATATATTCAAAAACTTTTATCAACAAAAGATAAAACTGAATTGATATTTACCAAGTGTTAATGTTTTTAAGTTCTGTTAATTTTTTCTCCAAAGCAGCAACATACTGTTAAAAGAAAAATGAATATATATATATTTTTAAATGCAATTTTAAGAAATAAAAATAAGATTAAAATGAAGTAAATGCATCAATTTAAAACAACTCTTGTAATTTTTTTAAGAAACTTCTTATTCTTAAAAATAATTCCAGAAATGGAGTAAGGTAATTACATCCAAACTTTGATATACTATACTTCTAAATAGCACCACCCTCATAAAGTGCCAATAAATATTTATGAATTGATCTTTATAAGAATGAAATAGGAAACCATTCAGTGTCTGCAAATTACTAAATGCATGACTTTACATTGAAAATGACATTGTCGTCACCAAATTTAGACCACATTACTCATCATTATCGTTTGAGCTATTTTTGTTTAACACCACACTCAATTTAATGCCACTATTTAGTGGCATTAAATTGAAGTTTGACTGTAAGTCAAAATATAGATTAAAAAATAATTTTACATAGAAATTGAAAAGAAAAGCTTTCAAAAAGATTTTCCAACATTTATTTAATACAATGAAAGAAATATATATATATGCTGCTCTCTATTTATAGCATGTTGTTTTTACTATGAATTCAGATGCAATGGACATTCTTCCTCCTCTTCTTCAAAAATTAAGAGATTATATAAGATAAAAGCTTGTGAGGATATGAAAACATTCAAAAAGAATGTTTAATGTTTTTATAAAAGCTAGATCCTCTTATTGATTAAATAAAACTGGAGTTCCTCAAATAAAGCATTGGTTCAACAAGTTTTTATTATGTTTTGCAAATAAAACTAAGTTTTTACTTAGTGTTACCAAGTGTTAATGTTACCAAGAGTTTCTTTGTTTAATTTAATTCTCTTTCTTTCTTGTGATATGAAGATTATGAAAATTTATTCAATTGGTAAATGAGGCCTATTTTACATTAAACTTTTAAATTCAAAGTATTATCATTTTACTGAAAAAAAAAATTTCCTATTTATTATACAGAGTTCTATCCTCATTGTACAAAGATAAAAAATACATTTGATAATGGAGCAAGTTTTAGAATCAATGAAGAGAACACAAGATACCATCAGATTTTAATTAGGTTATAATATAGATAGCTGATTACAAAGTTATTGTGTAATTTGGATATTGTATTTTTATTTATTTGGATAAAAGGCAGTTTAGAAACCTACCTATAGTATAAATAAATAAAAATAGTATAAGTAGAAATAAATAAATTAATTTAGAATATTCAGGAAGAAAAGATTCATCTGGAATGAGATACAAAACAACAACTGCTTACCATGGAGATGCATCCCACTCCAGATAGACTGTTTAACTATTTATTATCTTCAATTTAAATTTACTCATGCATTGCATGTCATGGAAACAACAAAATCCAACAGAATGTTGACTGTCCAAATTGCCAATTAACCAAATCATTGAAGCAAGGAATGAAAGCTTGATAAATGTCCCTTCCACTTGCCAAGCAGCCCATGCAATTATTACAATCCACTTCTAGCTGTCAACATTGTCAATGTCAGTGTTGTTTTGTTCCGATTTTCAGTTCATTCTATTTTTTTGCGGACTTAACATTATAAATATTTTATTATCTGACAATTATCTGAATTATTTCTACTTTGCAAGGCAAAAAAGAAATAATTTGGTAGATTTTGATAATTTTAACTAAACTTGCATTTTATTGTTGTCCAAATTGACTTCCTCAGATTCAATACATTTTGTATTTCTATAAGTCATATTTCACTAACTTGAAATTTAAGATTTCAAAGCAAGTAGCAGGTGGCTGGATAAATTTAAGAGGCACAGAATAGTTTTCAATTAAATCTGTGTTAAAACTGAGAGAGGGAAATTAAATGAAGTGGTTGAAAAGTTTACCAGAAATTGTATAAAACTATAACATGAATGACATTCTCAACACAGATGAAACAAGCTTATTTCTTAAATATCTGCCAGACAAAACGATGATGTTCAAAGATGATTTGTATCATAAAGATAAAAAAACAAATATGTAGCTCTTCTTTTGGGAATCCAGATAATGAATAACGTTTAAAGCCTCAACATTTCTGCAATTACCTATACAATATGCAGCAAATAAAAAAGAATGAATGCTGTCAGAACTTTTTCCTAACTGGCTAAAAAAGTTAAAGGCAAAGGATTAAAATCCATAGGGGATAGTCTAACTCAGTGTTTCTCAACGGGGCGATATCGCCCCCATGTGGGCGTTTTTCCATGTTGAGGGGCGATTAGTAACAATTTATATTTTGGGGGGTGAAAAACAATTTTCTAGGCAATATAGTAAAACATTATATTAAGAATAATTAGATATTTTATTTGTTATATCGTACAATAATTAAACAAATAATGTTATACTAGTCACTAGTCTATTCAATGCAATACGAATTTGGCGTTAGCCTTGGCTTCTGGCATCGGAATTGAAGTGAAGGGGGCGATACTATGTTGAAGGGGGCAACGATTCGTTCAAGGTTGAGAAACACTGGTCTAACTGATTAAGAAATAATCATCAAATTATTTAATAATATAGACACATATATATAATTTTTGTAATTTGTATAAATACCACATTCAGTTAATTTTAATCAGCCTAGTTTTCAGGATATTTACTAATTAACCTATCCAGAAAACAAAATTTACATTACACTTTTTCTAATCACAATTCACTGATTGAAATATTGCTGTAAACAAATTAACCAGATTTTATTGACAAGAAAATATAGATAAAACTCTAGTTCTGAATGAGATGGTAGCAACCACAGGTGTGATCCCCCTCTAAATAACCAATAAAGTCCAAAGAATCAAGATCCTAAACTTATTGGTCCTCTAGGGGAGTGAACACACGGGAACATTCAGACCATCACACCATCTCATTCAGAGCTAGAATCTTAAAACACATCTGCATGATGAAATTTGTTGCATCAAAAATTGAATTTAGGGAAGTTTGAATAATAATATTCTGCCTACACAAGTATAACAATACAATAATATAATTACACTATATATTATATATATAATTTATAATCTGATCTATATAATAACAAATTATAAACTTTGAGATTTGATAAATAAACATTATTTGAAGAACTTGTCTACATGACTACATCATACATTAGACACAGCTGGCAATGTTTCACTCCAAATTTCATAGATTAAAAGTTAGAAACAAGCAAAAAATGAAACATTGTCATTTCAACCAATAGACTGTTGACGTAAATGTTCCACATTTTTGGGATTTAAAAATTTTTGAATATTTAGCTGAATACAGAATTCCAAGTATTTATCATTATTTTTTCTAATGTCATTGACATTGCACAAGAATACTTCTGCAATTCTGTGAGTAACTCCATTTATTTCTCTTGTAATAACTGGAAATCATATTTAAGAAATTAAACCTTAACCAATGTTCAGTTATAAGCTTTATCACATTCTCCTTTGTCCAAACTTCCATTTTGTCAAGCGATAAAAATGCTTAAATTTCAAAAAATAACAAAAATTTAAGAAATTTGATGGCATAGATGTTTCTTTACCCAAAATATATTACTGAAAATACTTTTTGGTTAATGTTACCTATGGTGACTAAAATGGCGGCTCATCTCTGATTCCAGCAAACAGAAGAAAGTGGGAATGTACGTTCTAACCTAACCTATTCTAATAAATTACCCCTATTCTAATGATTTGGTTGGCAATAATTATGGTAATTTATTAGAATGGGTTAGGTTAGGTTAGGTTAGAACATGTGTCCCCGCTGTTTCCTTTCTTCTGTTTAAAACTTCAGTCATCTCTGTTATGGAGTTTAATTGAGAACCAGGCCTGTTTTTATATGGACGAGAATTATCTTCTGGCGATGCGTCGGTTTCTTCTGTTTGCTGGAATCAAAGACGAGCCGCCATTTTAGTCACCATAGGTAACATTAACCTACTTTTTTTCACACATTTGTTCATAAATCACCATTCCCTTTGTTTAACACTTCATTACGTATACGAAACTCATAAGATGCTCCTCGATTTATGTTTCGACATATGACAGCTGACGCAAGCGTTTGTTTTGTTACGTTACAGCAATGCAACACTCAGGCCATCTGCCTAGAAGGAATGCTTTCCTGGTGATCTTTTAAGGGTAACCAGTTTCAAGCATTACAGATGTGGAGAAAACACAGAAAACTCCCAGTCTCGGTGAGGTGCAAACCCTCGACCGAACTTCCAGCATTCAGGGAAAGAAACCACTCAGCAAGTGAAGTAAACGCACAGGAAAATGGTTAGAATTTGAATCCAAGCTGCTCTACCAATATGTTAATGATCTTTCTTGAGATTTTTATTTATATATACCATCTTATTTGTTGTTTTTACAGTATACCCATTGTCTGCAAAATGTCCCTCTATATCAATGAGAACTTAAAAGATAGTATCTAAGCATGGCAATTATGGCGAGTTTTGGTTATCGCAATTAACAATAGCCCAAACTCACGCTACACATTGTATAATATGCAATGTTAGGGTGCGACTATGCAGGCGCAAGCGACAATATGTGGCGAGAAGAGATGAAGACGTTTCACGCTCTCGTTTATTACGACCACACAGGCGAGAGTGAGAAACAGAGAGAAAATTAGCAAACTTTGTTTACTAATAATTAAAATAATTTGTTTAAAGGAAATGGTTTAGCATTTATAATTTAGTTATAAAGTTTATTCTAACTTTTTCCAGCCTCCAATCTCCCGATACTCTATCTGATACCATTGATTCGCATCGTTCCAATAAACGACAGAAATTCACTTCTAAACGCGAGATAGGAGCCATCTTGAATGACTCACAAAGTGTTGCCAAATCGACAACTCGAAATTACAAGTTTCGATTTTTATTTTTTAATATTTGATTTCGGCGAATAAAAAGTAATACTTTCATAATTATTTTATAATTTATATTATTTATTTTTATACTTTATAAAACATTTTATCGATTTAATAAATATAAATTAGATTTTCCTACAGTTTCGTATATTTTCAATACTCAGCGGGATTAAGATTGACGCTGTGGCCGCCAGCGCCAGAGATCCCGAACGTTGTCTGGCAACGCGTAAAAAAAAGCGCGCGAAAGTTCGTTCAGCGTTGCCAGATTTGGCTACTTTGCGCCAAATTGGGCTACTTATTTTTCATTTTGGCGTTAAAAAAAGCATTTGGCGCACTGGCTACTTTTTGGGCTACAAAAATTTGACTTGGCTACATTTTGGGCTGGTAACACAAATTATTTCATCCTTTGTTTTGCGCACAGAACGGTAATACTTGTTGCGCTGTCTACTCGCTTTGTTTTTAAACATAGTATAATTTATATAAGTTTTATAATTTATTTATTATTGGTATTAAAATGGGAAAATGGACAAAGTATTCTCGGTCCTTTCGGAAAGAATGGCTTCAAGATAAAAATCTTAAAGGTAAGCAC